CTCAGTGTATATATATATATATATATATGTATATACTATTCATTTTTTATAATCAAAATTAAGTGCCTTTCATTACAAAACTTTCAGAGCCTTAGATAACATGGCATCTGGAGCTCTCTCAGACTGTCCACTACACACACACACTGTCATTTGCAACTCAAAAGCAGATGTCAGAGCATTGAAAGGGTGAAATATTTATCATACATTACATCATTAATAAGACCCACAATTATGGTGTTAAAACACTTAGTAAAATACAATTGTATGGTGTGTTTAAAATGTACAAATTTTTAAAAGGCTTATTATGTATAATGTACATTGAGGATGCTTTTTTTAGTTATTCGTGTTTGCAGGACAGGAGGTGTGCAAAGCATTATAAAAGTCAAAGTTCTTAATAGTGTTTGCAAACTGTTTTTGATATTACTGGTGTTGAAGGAGACTAGAGGTATTCACAACTCAGTTGTTGCTTTTGATGCTTAATTTAAAAGAAGTTGAGTTGCATGCTTACTCTTGGTAATATGTGCATATTAAATTTATTAGTAATGTAAATTGTCTCAAATAATTAGTGCTGCCTATATTTTATTTTAAATGGACTCACAGAAATGGAAATTAGGTTTTGATTATTAGGTCTGACAAATGATGAAAGGATTACAGCACATTAAAATTTAGTACTACAGCACTGTCTGTGTTGACTAAAGCTGGTGCACTCTGATCTTTGAAGCATTATTATCTTTGTTATAGCTATCCATTCGTCCTAGATAAACATACCAGTGATAGAGATATTAGTTTTGCCACAGGTACATGATGACATGAAGTGTGTACTTCCATATGTGAGTTATAAACTAACTGATCCTTAGTGGTAATACTTTAGGGTAAACAAGGAACTGCTTGCAGTTGTAGAATTTGTCAACCTTTACCACCACTACTTTTATGGTAGGGGGCTTGTGATTCAAGTGGATTATGTGCCACTGATTTTGTCATTGAGCTTTAAAACACTTGAAGATGTGTATGCACAACAGATAATTATGTTACAAGGGTACAGTTTCATTATACATCACTTCCCATGTAAGTAGAATGAAAATGTTATGAATTATTTCATTGGCCAATAAGATCATGACCATTTGTTGAGTACTAAATCCTGAACACTTTGCAGTAGTCAAAGCCATTGAAACAACAGTGACCACAAACCATACAAGAAGTGACAATATTGCATTGGCATGAACATAACTAGAGTGCTACTTGCTTTTTAGCAATATGATACATAAGCATCACAAAACTTTCAAGCATGGTTCTTATGTGTCTAACATCTGACACTTCTGTGGTCTCTTATTAGTGCAAGATGGTTCATTTTACCATTGTTAAGAATCAACAGGATGTGGTAGCCAGCTGATGCTGTGACTAGTTGTCCTCCGATCTTTAGGACAAGAGGTACTTTAGGCTTTACATAATGCAATGATTGGAAGGAATCAGAGAGTTTTACTCACATTTGCAAGAGTGTGAAAGTGATTTTTCTTACCACATTTCTGTGTGTGTTTTAAATGATGGTATAGATGTTGTACCACATGTACTGCCCAGAGGAAAAGTTAGCATGTTAAAGATATCTTCGACAGATAGTTGTAGTTTTCCTTTTGTGAAAATATGCCTAGATATAGTTGTTTTCTGCATGAAACCAAAAATGATAACTGGTATGTACTGTGATTACTTCTTGAAGTGATTCAGAGCATATCCATTGGTAAAGACATTATCACAGATGATGTGACTCAACAATGGACAAATATTTCAAGAATCTTGAAAAAAGCCAGTTTCAGTAAAACGTTGTTTTAAGAATTTACAAAGTATTAGGTACTGTTCACCATATCATCCTCAGTTTGATGGCTTGGATGAATGTGTGATGATGAGTGTCATGGGTATGCTTGTTAAGTATGTGAACCCTGACCAAACTGATTGGAATGATGACCACCTACCATATGTCATCATGTCATATTGTGCAACTGAAGAACAATCAAATGGCTATTTTCTAAATCTTTTTATTTTTGAATGAGAAGTAAACCTTTTAGTGGCTCTGAAGTGTGGCCCTCTACCTAGTGTAGATGTGTAACAGTATGCACAGGAATTTGTAGAATGGATACATTCTACAATACTTTGTGCACATGAATTTGCATGTCAGCAGTTGGGTAGTGGCCAGGATTGACCTGGGCTACATTATTTTCTTGAGCTGTAGGGGCAGCATTTACCTCTTACTGTTAGCTCTACTGGACTTAGTGAAAACTGATAGCCTAGCCTACCCTGCTCCACAACAAAGTATGAGAGTTCCCAGCTCTCAGGCATCTGCTGAACTATTGTTCAGATTTCACAACCTTGTCTACTTTGTTGCTTGGAAAATTATGGGCAGTTCACTTAACGCTGACACAATATACCACAAACAAAACATATGCTTCATGCCATTCATCTATTCAACATCCATGCAGAGGCATCAGTGGCATTTAAACTAGGAGGACTAGAATAGTCTGCTGTTTCAATGGAAACCAGCATGGTTGCATCAAACTGCTTGGATGTGTGAGTGGTTGTTAACTCTTACCATGGCTCAAATTTGGCATGATTGAAGTATTTAAATAGAATGTTCCATCTGAGGGGTGCCAAAGCACTTACTGTTGTAGGCTTTTCCTCTTCTGTGACTGACTCGAAGTTAGCACTTCAAATATGGTTCCTTTTAAAACTACCTTAGTAAGGGTGAAGATATCCCTCAAAACCATGTTGTGCTTCATTACCATACTTGTAAATCTTATGAGAAACCTTTCTATCTACAGAAGTCATCGCAAAGTACACTTGAATCAGTGGCACAATTTGAACATGACTATGTCCCAACCTCCTAGTTGCATCTTTTTCAAAAGCTTGATAGTCTAGGGCTATAGACCATCTTAAGCCCAAGATCAGTTGTTGAACTACTGGTTCCTGACACCATTTATTTCAAGTACTTAATTGCCTGAATCACTTCCAGAAAAGGTACATATCTTCTTTCATCACACTTTTGATTACTGGATGGATGAGGGAGGGTGGCAAAATCTGCTTGGCATCACTCATAGTGACTTGTCTCTGTAGTAGGTAGTCTCTCTTCTGCCAGCACGGATATTGCAATAATATAAGTAACTGAGGTTAAAAGGATTGGCACTGGAATATCCTTTGCTGACTACTGATGTTGTTGACTGAATGCTGTGAAGGACCAACAAAGGTCACAAGGTGACATTGCTGATTGGAAGAAAGTGAGTTTATTTGTTGATTACAGATTCACCTTCTTTGTTCAGTTCTACTTGCTTTTCATTATGACTAGATTCATCATGAAGAACAGAAAGCTGAAAAGCTAGCCACTGATCCAGTAGAGGAGATTGTTCCACTTGTCTACAAACACTGTTTTTCATTGTTGTGTCTAAATAAAAATTGTTTTCACTGTCTTATGAATGTGTTCAATCTGTTTATTTCTAACACAACTTAATATTTGGTGAAGTTATCAACTACAGATCACTTCACTTATTTCTTGAATAAATCTGCTGTTATTGTAGGTTTATCTATCAGGAAATCAGGTTTGCCTTTTGGTGAAGTTATCAACTACAGAACACTCCACTTATTTCTTGAATAAATCTGCTGTTATTGTAGGTTTATCTATCAGGAAATCAGGTTTGCCTGAAAATACCACAAGGACATCTCCTTTCTAGCTACTCGGTGGTATTTTCAGGTGAATCTGATCTCCTTAAAAAAAATAGTAAGTTCTGCTATATAATGAGAGAATTAGCATGACGTATCACATAGTGATACTGAATTTAACTCAAACTGATTGCTTGGTTCTGTTTCTGTGTCATCGAAAACAACAGAAGGGTGAAAACTTATGCCACAAAGAATGGTTAAATAGATGTTTTAATGTTCACAATGTTTTAGGCAGGGATGCCTGTGGGCCTAGCAGTTATTTTGATATAAAATTAATTAATTCAAAAGAATTAATTAATCATCAAGGGTCTTTGAAGATTAAGCAATCTTTCTTCACCCCACATGAGACTAAAGAATATAAGTACCTGAGAGTTAATTGGGCCTATTTGAGCCAAGTGGGCTGATTCAAACTAAATTTGTAGTTGAATAGATACATTCATATACAAATATGTATATAAACATATGAGGCAGGTAGGCATACGTGAAGGCAGAGTCGAGTTGAGGCAGGTTGAAGTAAAGGAGAAAATAATAAATTGAGAACTAATTGTTGTCAAATCTTCGAAACAAATGGGCCTGGCTTGTATCAATAGATCCTAATGCCTTAGGCAGGGATGCCCTTTCTCTAATGGTTTTAAACCTGGGTAGAACAAAATGGAATGTCAAGGTGGATCAGAAAAGCAAGTTCCACTTCTCAGAAATTCCCTACTTAATCACTGGAGAAATTGTGTTCTTTAATCAGTCAGTCATTTTTAAATAATATTAATGTACATTCATAAAATAAGATTAGAACATGGTTATAATGAAATATAACTTGATATTTCAGGGTATGGCAATGCAATTATACCAGTCATTTTTAAATAGACCAATCTCTTTGGAATCTCTAAGGTATGTTTTTGTTCTATACACTACTAAAAATTTCCCATTACTTCACAAGTAATGTTTGATTTATTTTATGTAACAAATGCATGACATTACAGTTGTTATAAGAATGTCAAATAACAGTAAATGTTCATTTTTCATTATGAACCAAATATTACTTAGTCATTAGATTATAACTCAGTTATGTTTGTGATTAAAAATTCCTGTACTACTTGTAAATACATGTTACCTTGACGTGTTTATGTTATGGTTATTACAACTAAATATTACTTCCTACAAGGTACCTTACTTCTTCTCGCATACATAGCTCTTCTCATTCAGTGCTGCCCTCTATTTCAAAAAGTATTTTGCATGCCACAAGCCTTTCATTTTCACACATCCCTCAATTGACATGGTTTAACTGATTCTCGCATGCAAACTATCATGCGACATGACATACTTCCACCAATAGAAGAGCCACACAGCCACGTGACTCTTGTGACTTCTTCTATGCTATTTTCCCTAACTCCCATGCCCAATTTTCTCGCCTTCATCTTAACCTCTCGTATATCCTACGATACTTGCCCACCTCCTCTCTAAGGCAAGCTACTTAGATCCTGAATGTTTTTCGGGGGATACATTTGCCCTAATTACATTCATGTTGGCATGTTTGTCAACTTTGGCTTTTTCTTTGCACATGTAGATCTTTTGGGGACAGATTGGTATTGTCCCAAGTTTGTTTGCCATCTACTTGGCCCCTTTTCTCCATAGGTCGGTATATGGAGATTTTCTGGGAACTTTGGAATCCAGAGTGGAATCAGAAAGACAGTAATTGGCTCTACCCTCGTCAGTTGATTGTTTTTCTCAACCATTCCATATTTCAATTTTACGTCCTAATCCTTCCCATCCTTTAGCTCTTCCTTCCTCCAGGGGATCTTTCTCTGAACGTTTTATTCGACACTGACTGTCACACTGCCAACAGTATTGGTGACTACCATGTGAGTTCCGGTGCAGTGGGGGCTTGTTTATCCGAGTTTGTTCCTCTATGGCGGGGAGTTCACCAAGGATCTCTGGGTTCTTCAAGTTTTATCCGAAGGACTTGTCATCAATTTCCTTTTTTAATAAATGTTATTCAAATCAGCATTCAAGTAGGAATGCCTGTCACATGACATCTGTCAACTAAAATTTTCATTGCTTTCATTATGGCATCTGTGGTAAATTGCAAACTAGATAGAAACTCATTTTGGATTTGTTAGTGGATGATTTTCTCTCTTTGCACAAATAAAAAAGTTTAAAATATCCTATTGAAAATGTTTTATTCAAGAGTTCTACCATCTGTCTATCCAAACGCTTATTCACTGTTAAAACTTCAGAAACTTAATTTTTCAAATTTATTCTCACTAAAATGATAAAGTCTCATTTAGCTTAATGATTACTAATTTTGGTTTGCATTGAATTGAAAAAAATTACTAAAATACTTGTAATATACAAGAGGATAAATTCATGGAAAATTTGTGATTTTTAACAACATTAACTTTCACAGAATTTTATAGTATAGATATTAATTTCTATGCACATTTTGTTCCAGAACCACTGGAGTAAAAGTCACTCTTATACTTAACAATAAAGAAGTTATTGTTTACCGACACTATCCAAAATATCAGGTAAATTTTTTACAATGAATAAACAATCATAGAATCAACGTCTACAACTGAAACTACTGTTTAACTTCAGTATTATGACTTGGCAAAAGATATTTTCAAGGATAAAATGATTTACAGTAGCTAAGCATGTCATGAAATATATAAAATGTATTTTATTAGGATTTAAATGTTAACATTTGTTGAATAATTGAAAATAAATGACTGATTGTGATAACAAACATATGATTAGTTTAAATTTTGCTCAAAACTGTTAAAGAGTATAAAAGCATTAGTGTTGAGTGTTCATTTCCAAGTACTTATTCATTTCTGCCATATATAGAATGTGGAGCTGTTCGGTTACATTGGTGGATATCTTGGAATTTGGCTTGGTATCTCACTGACAAACATACTGGATTTGATCACTGAATCCAGCAGTAAAGTGAAAAACTTGTTCCTATATCTAAAGGGGCAATCATCAAAGATATAAAACCAATTCAACAAGTTGTGGCTACTATTGATGTGAGAGAAAAATGATATAATTTGAAGACAAGATGTAATGGATACTATATCAGTTACTATATTAGTCTTTTCTAGAATATTAACTTGTACAATGCACGCAGAACTGTAGATTTGTTGTTACTTTGTGTAAAGAGAATATTTAAAATCATATATTGATCCAAATGCAGTATTATTATTGTAAAGTGCATCATATTTTAGCCTCCCGATTTGGTGTCAACTTGATGACAGTTAGATTGTCAAGATCCAGATTTATTATTTTGTACTTTCACTCCTACTTTTTGTGCCCTTATGCAAATCTTGTCATTTATAACTTTGCATATTAAGAAATTTTATGTGCTCAAATTTAGAATTTTTTTTTTCATTTACAAAAAAAACTTGTTCTCATTGAGTAAGGAATACAGTTTCAGTGATTAGTATATACATTCATACATATATATATATATATACACACAATGAAACTGTATTCCTCCTTTCTTTTGTTATTTGGTCAACTTCTAACATTGTAGTATTTACTGAAAATTAATAATATTTTATATAACTTCACATTATATTCTGTAAATGATTAAATCTATAGACACATTGCTGTAGTGATTCTTACTCGCATAGGAATTCCATAGGCCACTTTTTTTATATTTCTATGTAGGGAAATAATTTCTAATTGCATTGAACATACTTTCATAAATCTCTCACTCTGTTTTTACTTTTTTTTAAGGATGGGGAAGAAAAGTCATAAAAAGAGTTTTTTTTTATATATACACACACAGTTCTTCTGTAATATATACACATTCTGATACCTTGCCTGGTATTGAAATTAGGGTAGAGAACAGTTTGTATATGTTACTACCATTGTTCTTTTTGTACCCAGAACTAAGACATAATACAGTATTACCTTGTTAGTAGTGGAACTGAATTTATCTAATATAGTTAGTAACAGAGAAACATCAGAAATAAGATTATTATTTTGACTGATCAATAAGTGGGATTCAAGATGGCAGCACTCCATACTGACAAGCAAGTGGTCCATTTGAACAAAGTAACACTTTAGCTGATAGCAGATCCAACTTGCATCCCAAAGTATTGTGGGAAGAACCATGTTCTTTACTTCTTCACCACATACACAGTCTTTGTATATCTAGATAATGAACGACGTTTGGAACGGAACTTGTTTGATTAAATCCAGTTTTATTCAAATTTTACCTGTACAAACTGTCATCCTATGACACATTTCATGACATACCTCACCATAATGGTTTAAGACTAAAGCCAAACATTCATTTGGTACCTTGTAAGGTAACAGTCTTACATTTACCCATGTTACTTTATTCCTCACAGGAGTAAATAAATAAAAGTCCACTGTACTCCTGGTTGGTAAAAGAAATAGATTGGAAGGTGTAACACAGTTTGTTACCACTCGAAGGTTGAATAAATTTGACCAAATCTTTTTTCAATTTGTTTAAGAATAGTCACAGGAACCTTGAAAAAGACAAAGAAATTTCAAGTTAATATCTGTTTCACTGCAACACAAAAACGAAGTAAATCTATAAATAATGTAATAGACAAGCTGGCTATCTTTTATCAAGAAAAGATAAAAGAAAACAACTAAAAAACTGATGGGAAAAAAAAAAACATTGACCATACATATCTCAAATTTAGATAGAACTTTTGTTGCCCTGTACCATGTATCCTTTTCTTCAATTATTGATTCAATAAGTATACTCTACTTACTGTGGTTGAAAAAAAAAAGTAGTTTTTCGGCATCTCCCTGTCTGTTGTTCAGAATAATCTTTTATTTTGGTGGTTAAAATAACAATATGGTAATTATGGACACATTGTCTGTTTCTGTAATAACTGGAGGAGGTACAAAGTACATTCGAAAAATTTCGATGAGATAGACTTTACCATGGAAAATAACATTTTATGTAAAGTAATGAATAAGTGTAGTTTTATGATTGCCTTTATGTGGTGTGCTTAGGAAATAAAAATCATGTACTGGAGTCAGACCATTTTGAATGGACTATCTGATCTGTTGTTAAAAGGCATTGCCATATTGGATTTTGTTTTTCTCAAGTCAGCTAACTCCAAGTTAAAATTATCATTCTTACTTCTTTTGATGAAATATTATCTCAGTTACAATCAGTATATGTTAATATCCTATTAACTAACTTTCAATATTTTTTTAAACAGTTAAATGTATGATTTCTTTCTTGAAAAAAATTCTGTATGTATAATTTTTCCATAAATATACATATTGTACTAGTTATTGTTGGATTAATTTGTGAAATGAATTTTGCAGATTCACATGTAAGTTTACTCAACAAATAATTTCATTACTGAGTGGAAGTTTATAATGATCTATCTCTCTCTCCCTCTATATATATATGTACGTACTAGCTGGAGTACCTGTCCCCTAGATGGAAGTTATCTACATGCACGATTAATGAAGGGTTATCTTAGGACATGAAAAGTTGTTTCCCTTGTGTAATTGTAAAAAAACGTCCATAAAAACTGAAAAACACAAAATGTGAAACCACAAATTATTATCTCCCCATTGAACCTTCATGCCAAATTTGGTGAAAATCCATCCACAGGATGTGGGGTAGTGGTTAAAAAACGCCCCTAAAAACCACAAAATGCAAAACTGAAAATTTATATGTACCTCCCCATGGTCCCAGTGAACCTCCATACTAAATTTGGTGAAGGTCAATCTACATCCTGCAAAGTAGTTACATGAACATATAACAGACAGTACTATTATTTTTATATAGATATAGTAGTATAAAAAATGAATAACATAATTAGTAAAAATATTTATAATAAAACACAACGATTTTGCTATATCACTGTTAAGATATAATATTATGCATTGTGTGAAGCTAGTTTTTGTAATGTAAAATGTGACTTAATGACTTTTAAATAGTGTTATGTTTAAAAGATGTCTTTAAGACTAGAAAGTGTGATGTGCAACTATATATACATACATATATAACATTTTGGTGTGGAATATTTTCTGTGAATATATTAAAATGTTTGGAAGCATTATACTATTGTGTTTTTACTCAATATTCATACTCATGTTTAAGTTCATAGGTTTTAAAAACACCACAAAGAGGAATTCACTAATGAGCATTAAGTGTGTGAAAAATGCCATAAAGACCTACACAGTCCTCCTCTTGAGCCATTTTTTTCTTTACGTAAAAATAAAATCATACAATTGGATTTTGCTGTGAGTAAACATTCTAAGTTCATAATTATGCTTTAATTGAAAAAGATAGCCAGGACACATTATATATTTCCCATATTATAGCCTTTGTCCTGATGGCTTCATTTATTTTGATTTTCTTCAAATTATAAGTATGTTCTATTTCATCGTAGATTTGGTTAACCTTCCTTTTGTTGTAAGCATTTACTTAACTGTTTAAATTACATATAATAGTCAGACACAAGTCTGCACAATTAGGATTTGTATCTGATTTTCATCCTAGAATGTCAAAGCAAGGTCTAATATAAATTTCTTGCTTTCTTCTCTAAAACTGACCAAGTGAAGCAGTAAATCAAAATGTCATAAATGGAGCTGTTTTATTCATACAAGTGTGTCCACAGACTCGTCAGAATAGAAATCACACAGAAACAAAACTGTATATTTAAGGCAACTAATCATAAAACTGGAGTGAGGTTAAATATTAAAAAAAAATTCCAATGATAATGGGCTGGCCTCAACCACAACATTCAAATAACACTAATGTTAATCACAGAATCCCTTGTTACCATAAAATAATGTATAGGATCAAAGCCCAGATGACCAGAAGCTTTGGTCTTCTATTTCTCATCAATTTACAAATGGAAATACAACTTTGTTAAACTGATAAAAAAAAAAGTGTACCTCCACAAATAATATAATTTTGGTTAGTGACCACATCACTTCTCGCATGATTACACAACTCAATTCTTAAAAATTAATACACGGTCAACAAATTTCATTTATAAGATGTACATGCAGAAACATATTGCCAATTTGTTTACTAGAATGGTGGAAAATTTTTGATTTTACATGCATTTTGAAACAATGAGCAGGAATCCTTTGCTTAATTTTTTTTTTTTATAGTAAAGACATACATGTATATCAAGATAGAATTCCTCTTTTCAACCATATTTCTGACCTATGCAAGATTAATTTGTCACAAACAATGTTAATAATCTACAGAAAGTTAACAAGAACTTACAAAGCAAGTCTGAGGTAAAATGAGACAAGAAATGCAAACTAAAGATTACCAAACGTTGTTTTTACTTTATTCATTAATCTTTTTAAATTTGTAATCACATACAAATGCCATTTTTCAGGAATATACAATAAAATTTATTACATTCATTTGACTAAAAGAAAACATTTTAATCCTCATTCCAAATCAAAAAAATATAATGCTGTACTAATAAATAATTCTTTAAAAAAATACAGCAAATGCTTTTACAAACCATGCATAGTTTGTTGTCAAGTTGTTAAACATTTATACAAGAATTTATACAAAATTATAAGATGCCAAAAACTACGATAGCCTCATTTTTAACTTTTCTGGGAAGAATAAATTGACTAACATGTTAATATTTCTTCTTCATTCTGTACTTGCCACATACTCTTTTTTTTGTACTAAATACATATATGGTATCTTAATGCAACAGTAGAAAAACTTAAGTATTAAACCGTTTTTTTTTCCTAATATATTTGTATCTGCCTATCCAATACATTTTGTAACTAGTTTGTTAATAGGCTTTGGGAACATTTTCTACTCCATATTAACCGCCAGTTTAACAGCTACATTGTTTTTGATACTGTATCAATAAACAAAGCATTTGAACATTAAAAGCCTTTCTAATGAGAAACAAAACTTTATCTACATATTATATTGCTTGAATATTCAAATTAACTAATCTTCACTATTACTATGTTACATCTTACACAGAAGGTCAGTTACAATATACTGTAAACAGAAGAACATGTATTAACCAGGAGTCAATTCAAAATTTCTGATGATCCCTTTGTACCATGTCACCTGTTTTTACTTTTGTTAAAACAAGGATCAGTTTGAATTTCTTTTAAAATTTCTCCTAATAATTTATTATAATCTACACTCTCAGCAATAAAACAAAATATTTTCAATATTGTTACTAGTGCTATATAGTACCTGAGATTCAAAACAAAACTAAGTTGACATTCAAGAGAATCTTCATTAAAACACTTCCTGGAATGTGTGTACAAACCAATTTTTCATTACTTGGCAAGCTTTTCTAACACCTTGGTCATTTTAAACTGACAAATGACAACACAATTACAATAAAATGGATTATCTGAAACACAATGATCTTCTTTTGAATATACTTTCAATAAGAAGCAAACATTAAATTATATAAATATAAAAATCAGTGTATACATGAAATAAATGTTCAATAAACAACATTTAGAACAATTTATTTGTATATCTTTTTTTCAGGAACCTAACCAGTAGTTCAGTTGATATATCACAAAACAATGTAACAAAATTATAAATATTTAGATCCAAGTTGTTTACGTTTTTATGTAATTAATGGTCAAATACAGTACTTGTATTTTAACATAAAGTAAGTATTTTATGCTTAAAAATCATATAATAACTCCTAACGTTAACAGTTTACATAACTAATCCTTATCAAAGAATATCTCCTGAGCCCTCCCCTCACATGACTACCACATATGTCTAAATTACCTTTTAAATTTATCACTGTTGATGTCTGGCCTAAAATTGTAATCATCTTTGAATGTCACTCTTATAAATTATTTTCTGTACAATTCCATTTAGTTGACAATAGGGTGACCAGATGTCTCTGTCTTCCCAGGACAGTCACATTTCTTGATAGATCGTACCAATGTCCAAAGAAAAGTTCTTGGGACACGCAAATATCTCAGTTTTATCATAAAGACATCAAGCTGTCAGTCACTACGAATATAACAGGCCTACTTGACTTGCTCATTGTTGTAACACATACTCTCCTGCCACAAAACTGTCTCGAAAGATCCGTCTGTGTGTGGTGAGAAACCCAGCTCTAAATGTGGATTTAGTTATGGCAGTGTTCATTGTCAAAACATACTTTACACGGTCATGTACCGATTGCTATGACTATTTAATGAAATAAACAGAATTTCTAGAGGTAATTCATTCTTCACAAAAAATGTCTTAAAAAGTTTCTTAGTAATGCTAAAATCTAAAAGTAGTATGTTTGAAAATTTTATGGATTCTTAAATAAATATTAATATGAAGTAGCCTATTTCGAGATGTATTTGATAAAGTTAATAATTAATGATTCCTGGGCTGTATAATTTGACTATTTTTGCTCATTTTTTTGTGTCTATCATCAAAAACAGTAGCTGAAATTATTTAAATGTTAATATATTTGGAAATATTGTGGAACAGTTCAATACATTTAAATTAATCAAAAGTTTAATTATTTGAAATCTGTAATAACCATTTTGAAATTAGGGGCAAGGGCTGGAATGTCCCATTTTTTGGTTTGGAAATTGGTCGCCCTAGTTAAGAAACATTTAATTAGTTAAGCAACTTCAGAATTCGACAATTAATTTTGTTACTTACAAAAATTCTGTAGATATAAATAATTTTAATAATTTCTTGTTCTATTTAACTTAGGAGAACACTTATCATGAATAAGATCTCAGAAGCTTTACAGGTTCTGCCCTTCAAACCTTTGTCTACAAATTTCACTGAAACATTTTATTTTAGGATATACCCTATTAAACCTTCATATGACAATTTCTTTTGCTTAAACATACCCTTTCTTATCAATTCCTGTAAAGGCACAGCTTATAAGTTTGTAATGAATATTTTTAAATGACATTGTTATTAATTAGTCAGTGACAAAATGAATCAAATAAATAGTGAAAGTGTACCTAGATGCCGCACTAATCATATTAGGATTCAAGTACATAAAGTAACAGGTAAGAAGCTTTGACTTTTTTTTTTTTAACCATTGAAACAAACAGAGCTTAATAATACAGATAGTCATGGAATTATTCATTTGGCTCAACAGTCTCATCCATATAATACTGACTCCTACTTGTTCCATACAAGTCAAAACTGCTCTCAAACCTAAACATTTTATTGGGTGGTGAATTTGAACATTCTCGGCTTGGACTTGCTGGAGGACTTAGTGCTCTACGAAGTCGTCCACTACTCTCTCGCCATAAGTTGTTCTGAAAAATAAGAGCATAAAACCACATCATATATTGACAAGCAATTATAATAAGCCATCTTAACCCTATTGACATGGGTCAAAGGCCATGTCATCATGTTGGTTGACCTACATTCAAAGTTTTTGTTGAACTACTATTTTATGTCAATATGTTTGGTATCAAATTGTAGCATTAAACATTAGTTAATTTCTTAATTTAAATGTAAATATAAACATAAACCACCTAAATATCAATTTTTGTGTGTCATGTGGTATGTTGAATGCAGCATTGGTTCAAATTAGATGTTTGTGATGTCCAAATACAAAGTCTATAGTTTCTTAAGAATTAATAATTCAAATTTCCAATATTGACAAGTTAGAATATAAAATAAGAATCTCCTATCTTTTCTATTAGCTGAGATATTGCTACATTTACTGAATCAAACACAGTGGCCCCACCCACCCCTTTCTGTTTTTTAGAAATGCTAAAGTACACCTTCTGTCTATGACATGTGAATAACCAGTTGAAAGCTCAGAACGTCCCCCTAGTGACGCCTTTTTTAAATATTCGGGCAGCAAACTCTTTCTTGTCATGCTAGATTCGAAGTGGTAAGGTAAGATTTTGGAGAGCTCAATATTTCATATTTTTTTAGACAAATACAGCTTAGTTACTAATCTTGATAAATTATAGTGGAATGCTATGGTATTGATATAGTAAAATATGATTTTTGGTTATTTCAAAATGTATATATAAAATCTAAAAAAAAATTATTTCATTTGACATCCTCCACGTGCAAAATTTGATAAGGCTTAGCAACATACAGCAAGCAGCAAACGAGTACAAAGTTTGTAACTAGAAGAAATAATTGTTTACTATACTTCTTTATTTACAGTTCTATGTTTTAAGAATAAGTTTAAGAACATATTTGTAAATAGTAATAATGTATATGTATTATAACTGAAATGTGACTGTATTTTACAAAATACTAGTCCACAGCCTAGACAGGACACTTTGTAAAGGCCAGTTTTATATTCTTGGATATGGTAACATCAGTGCACGTGCACTGCATCATTGCAACTTCTGTAATGTTAGCC